CTCTCTCTTTCATTCTCTCGCTATTCTCTCTGTTGACGAAGCGTTTTTTTTTCTTTTTTTTTTTCTTTTTTTTGCTTTTTTCTTCTTCTTCACATCGGTAGACCGTCGTCGCCGGAGTCACCCTTCAAACGCCGCCGCCGAAATCCGTTGCAGGAGGCCCTCCTCCGCCGATGTTGGAGATCGTCTCCCCCTCGTCGAACACCACCACATCGACGCCTGGTACAATTGGTAAATTTAATTTTTTATTTTTCTCGAATTAATCGTCGAACTAGCAATAGAATATGTTATCGATCTGGATTTTTAGTTCTATTATTTGTTTGTTATGAACGAATACATTGATTTTCAATTATTCTTGATTTTATTAATTTTTGTGTTATTCTGCATATTCTGAAAGTTTAGATCTGAAAACCCATTGAATTACGAGATTAGTCGGTTGTAGTGCAATGTATTTTACAGAGTAGTCACGTTTGACAGAGTAGTCATGTTTAACAACTTAGTTATATTTGTCCCTTTTTTTTTGTAGTGCTGCATATGTTCAACAGTATAGTCATATTTCACAGAGAAGATCAAACGGAAAATTAAGTGCAGTCAGTGCAACCGAGTTGGATACCGCAACAAAAAAACATGTTCGATGCTCATTGTTGAAGGATCACATTAGTTATTTTGGTTTTTTCGTAGTCATTTTTTTTTTCTTTTTGCAATATATTTTGCTGTTAATATTGCAAGTTTTTTCATGTGCTGATTACTTGTAGTCACATTACGCAGTTGCTAGTCACATAATATTCATATTCTCACTATCATGTTCAGTATGTTATACAAACTGTAGTCACATAATAGTCATATAATGTATGTTAATTATAATGTTTTACAAAGCACAGTCACATTCACATGGTAGTCACATTCACATGGTAGTCATATTCTTACTGTTATATTAATAATTATGCTTCTACAATATGTTAATTACACTATTATACACAGCGTAGTCACATAATAGCCATATTCAACTATAGTCATATTCGGAGTTGTAAATCTGTCGAGAAAAAAAAAAAATCAAATTTTTGTTTAAAAAAAAAATATTTTTTATTAAAAAAATATTAAAAAATAAAGAAATAATAAAAAAGTGGCTATAAAATCCGAAAATAATACAAAATAAAAAAAAATCCTATTGTTTGATTTGGTAGCAAATTTTTAGAAATTTGGAAGTAAATTTTTAGGAATTAGATTATTGTTATGGAAAGAGTGAAAAAAGGAATAATTGAGAATAATTATGTTAATTGACATAAGGGTAGAATTGGAAATACAAATTCTAGGGGGTTATCACAAAGAAAGACTTAAGGGTTGGACATATCACCATTTATTATCTATATGAGGGGTTTATTGCTAATGACCCCTAAACTTTTCTCGTTCAATGCAAAATATTATTTACGGTAATGTCGACATTATTACACATGCAGTGTATTGTGTGAATTTTATTAGTATGCATTTAAGATTATTATTTCTCATTACTCAAATCCAAAGAATTTTAAATTTTCAAAATTCATTTGGAGCTATAGTTTTAAATCATTGTGTTTGGATTTCAAATTCATCCAATTTAAACCCATTTATAATCCTTCCATAAAAAGAAACATCATTAAATTTAAATTAAAAAAAAACTCATTTGCGGGGGGGCATTTTCGTAACTTAAGAAATCCCAAACCCCGAAATTTGAGAAACATAATACGCGCGTTATGCTATTAAAAACAGCCTCCCTAATGTCGGGGTTAGTGTAAAATGCGCTTTTACAATTAACATTGTTTTTTCTGTTTTTGTGCGTGGGACTCCACGAACCATTCGCAGCTGTCCGAACCCAAAATTAAAAAAAATTAAAAAAAGGAAAACCCAGAAAAATAAAACAAAACGTTTTAGACTTTAGAGAGAGAAAGCACCTACAAAAATACCTTAAAAGACCAGTCACACTGCCCAGCCAGCAAATTCTAGAGAGAGAAACAGATACGGCTACAACAACAAATTCCACTTCACTTTTTTCCTTTCAATATACATAAATATATTCATACAAATTAATACAATATAATTTGTTCTTCTCTCTCCCTATTATTTTTCTTTTATTTTATTTAATTGGTGGAGGGGGTGGCGGAAAGTTGAAGCACCACAAAGAAGTTGAATTACATCATCGGAAGAAGAAAAGTCCGTTGAGTTTGCTTTTCTTATTCTTCTTATTCTCCTGCGGCGGCGGCGGGGAATTTTGGGAGGTGGCGCCGATCTGACTCAGTGAGTCAAAGCTCGGCCTTGCTTTTTGTCTTGATGAGTTAAAAGAACAGGGGATCGAATCTCGAACAGTTCAAATATGGTATGTTCTGCTGCCTCGGACGATCCAACTTCTTACCGTTTTCATGTGCTTTTACTGTTCAATGAATGACTACCTTTGATTTCGTTTTGACTCTGTGTTTTTTTTTTCTTCTTTCCTTCCCGAGTCAATTTTGTTCAATCAAGAATTCATGATGTTCATTTTTCCCCCCTTTCTTGATAATAATTTTTGTTTTTAATTTTTCTTGCAAACAACGTTAATGTCATTCGATCATGTCGGGGAAACATACGGGAAGTTGCATTGCGATTTATTTTAATGTAATTATTTCAATGAGGTCGGTTTTGTTTTTATTGCATCGATAAATGTTGATCGACATCGATTTGGATTCGTTACGGCCTTTTAGTGAAATAAATAATGCGAGCATCGGTTACTAATTCGGGTTCGACAATTGCTACATTGTTCTAGTTAATCACATTCCCCGAAAACTCGCGGAACATAGCGAATAAGGAACTATTTTGAATGGAGAACATGCATCGTATTTGAAAAACGGGAGTCGAAAAGTACTAAGCCTACACATTTCACACATTGACAATATCCACACGTTAATAGTTGTTATTCGTGCAAATTTAGGTTTAGCAGAGAATTTTGGTTCATCTATTTCTACGACCCCAAACGAGTGTTACTCTTTCGTAAATTTGTGGTGGCTAATGATTATTATTATTTTATTTTATTTTTTTGCAGACGTCACCAGTTAACATAATAGTAGGTTCTCATGTATGGGCTGAGGATCCAGTTTCGGCGTGGATTGACGGACAAGTAAACCGAATCGATGGCCAAAATGTTCATATTCAAACTACAAAAGGGAAAAAGGTGAATGCTGATTATGTACTATTTTTATTTATTCATTTATTTTTTTAATATTGTTTACTTACTAATGTTGTCGGCATTTGAATTGCAGATTGTCGCAAATATCTCGAAAGTGTTTCCGAAGGATACCGAAGCAGCACCTGGTGGTGTAGATGACATGACTAAGCTTTCGTATTTGCACGAACCTGGAGTTCTGCAAAACCTGGCTACTAGATATGAACTTAATGAAATTTATGTAAGAGATTTTTTTTCCTTCTTCTTTTATTGATTGAATTAACAAGAATCGATATCCTAATTAGTTAATGCAATCTTTTCTCAGACGTATACCGGGAATATTCTGATTGCAATAAACCCTTTTCAAAGATTACCTCATCTATACGATACACACATGATGGAACAATACAAAGGGGCTGGACTCGGAGAGCTGAGCCCCCACGTTTTTGCCATTGCAGATGTTGCCTACAGGTGAGTGATATTCTAGAACATGCCGAGTTATTTTTTTTTCCTCGGGTTTTTATTGTTTTTTTTTTTTGGCAATTAGGGCTATGATGAATGAGGGGAAGAGCAACTCCATTTTGGTTAGTGGAGAAAGTGGTGCTGGCAAAACCGAAACTACGAAAATGCTTATGCGATATCTTGCACATTTGGGCGGTCGTACTGGTGTAGAAGGAAGAACTGTCGAACAACAAGTTCTAGAAGTAAGCATCCTTTGCAATTAAACTTTTTCGATCTTTTTTTTTTTGTGTCTCAGTTGATTTTTTATTCTTATTTTGGTAACGATCGACAGTCAAATCCAGTTCTCGAAGCATTTGGAAATGCCAAAACTGTGAGGAACAACAACTCCAGGTGAGCGACATTTTTTCATTTTCTTTCGAATTCGTTGTTTATATTTTGAGAAGTTAGATAAGTTTTTATTGATGTTTGCAAAATACGCAGTCGTTTCGGAAAATTCGTTGAAATCCAATTCGATAGAAGTGGGAGAATATCTGGAGCAGCCATTAGAACTTACTTACTAGAAAGATCTCGTGTCTGTCAAATATCGTATCCCGAGCGAAACTATCATTGCTTTTATCATCTATGCGCAGCACCTCCCGAGGTACATTCTTCGATTAATTCTAATAACTTCAACATATTTCCCATTTTTTAATTACTTGATAATTTTTCGATCTCTTTTGCAGGAAAGAGAGAAGTATAAGCTAGGCCCCCCAGAATCTTTTAGTTTTCTCAACCAATCAAAATGCTATAAACTAGACGGAGTAAGTGATGCCGAAGAATACCTTGCAACCAGAAGAGCTATGGATATAGTTGGAATCAGCGAATCAGACCAGGTTCGCCTTTCGATATATTCGACTTTATTATTTCGTAATTTTTTTTCCGTAACATTATATATCATGTTTATTTATCAGGATGCAATATTTAGGGTTGTTGCCTCAGTTCTTCATCTCGGAAACATCGAATTCAGTAAGGGGAAGGAGATCGATTCTTCTGGGATCAAGGATGACAAATCGAGGTTTCATCTGAATACAACTGCCGAATTACTCAAGTAGGCTATTGTCTTTTTCCTTTTTTTTTGGCATTTAAATGGATGTTTTTGTGATAAATTTAATTTAATTTAATTTAATAGGTGTGATCCAAAGAGCTTAGAAGATGCGATGATTAAGCGTGTGATGGTGACACCCGAGGAAGTTATTACAAGGACACTCGATCCGGAAGCTGCGTTGGGTAGCAGAGATGCTTTAGCAAAGACTATATATTCTCGGATGTTCGACTGGTAATTGACTAATTTGTTTCTGTAAATGTATGACTATGTTATTAAGACCATTTCATGTTAACTCCTATATTGTGTATTGTTCCTAGGATTGTGCAAAAAATAAATAATTCCATTGGGCAGGATCCAAACTCGAAAGCGATAATTGGAGTTCTCGACATTTACGGGTTTGAAAGTTTTAAGCACAACAGGCAAGCTCTCTTCCCTAGAAATCTCGATATATATGTGTGTACATATATATATATATATATATATATATATATATATATATATATATATATATATATATATATATATATATATATATATATATATATATATATATATATATATATATATATATATATATATATATATATATATATATCTATATATATATCTATATATATATATATATATATATCGAT